ACCAGCCAGGACCTCCACATCCAGCATGTTCACCTCCAGGATGGTCTGCGACCTGCCACCCGCTGCAGCAACAGTCGTTTGCATAACCAAAGAATTTCTGCACAAACTGTCAGGAAGCATCTCAGGGAAGCTCATCTGCATGCTCGTGGTCCTCATCGGGGTCTGGACCTGACTGCAGCTCGTTGATTGGGCGAATGCTCACATTCGATAATGCACGGCTCCATATGGTTCTGTACACAATTCCTGGAAGTTGAAAACGTCCCAGTTCTGCATGATCAGCAGACTCACCGGACATGTCAACAACTGAGCACGTTTGGGATGTTCTGGAACAGCATGTGCAACAGCGTGTCCCCCCCCCTCCCAGCAAAGCTGTGACCTTTTATTGTGGGCAGTCTCAGGCACACCTGTGCAATATTCATGCTGTCCAATCAGCACCTTGACAGGCCACACCTGTGAGGTGGGATGATTATCTCAGCAAAGGAGAAGTTCTCACTGACACAGATTTAGACAGATTTGTGGACAATACATGGAAGTGATGGATCTTTAGTGTTTGTAGAAAATGTTTCTTTGAGTTCAGCTCATGAAAAATGGGAGCAAAAACAAAAGTGTTGTGATTATATTTGTGTTCAGTGTAAATAATCTATATAACACATATTACAGAATTATTGCTGTAAATCTGTGCACAGGCAGGTAAACGGTGCAGACAGGATTAGAAAAGCTTCAGTTACAGCACGTACTGTACTTCTGTGAAACCAGTCAAGTTCCTCCAGTATCCAGGGAAGTCTTCAAACTGGTAAGTGTAGATGGAAATCAGCACAAGCATGGTGTAGGCCACAACGAGCCACCAGAAGAGCTTCAGCAGGCGCCTCCACAGAGAATAGTAAACCTGAAGGAACAAGTTACGAGTTAAAAGTTTAAATGATTTATTATGAAATACAGTTTAACACAAAAGTGCCAGAACCCATTTATTTGGTCTGCATACCTGATAAAGGCACATGCAGAGCAGGAACAGCAGCATGTAGATGATCTTGTATGCAACAAGTTTTCCAGCAAAGGACACCATGATGAACATCCCTCCACAGACATAGATCCAGTATTTGGCATAGCAGCTCATCACCTTGCCTCCCAGAACCTTCAGCACAGATTCGTTACCAGCCTCCTCGTCTGATAAGGACGAGACGTGAGGAAGAAAGCGAGGTTAGGTGTACAGCAACGATGGAGAGCCACGCTGCTGCCACACAGGTGAACGTGTCCGAGGAGACGCTGCAGAGCTGCGGCTCAATGAAAGGCTAAGAGAGACGTCTGTGGTGTCGGAGTGTCCTGTAGTATCCTGCTCGATGGAAAACTTCCCACACACAGTGCTGGGAAATAAACATTTTGAAGGATCGAGACCTCACTCAGACTGGCAGAGGAACTGCAGTGTTTGTGATGTCGGGATGTGTCCAGTACTTTTAGTGGTAATCCATCGTTGAAGATCAGGATCCAGTTTGTTTTGTTTTGAACTTTTTTATGATATTTGTTCTGTCATATTGTACGATTCTACGTATTTAAGCTATTTGTTGTATTTTTGATGTGTTTAACTCTGCGATAAACACAGTACATCTTATTTTACCAGACTTTTTAACATCTAATCACTGATATGAAAACAAATCTGAATCATCTCATTATGTTTTGAGTCGGTTGATCAGCAGGTCTGTGTGAAGTTGTGTGTGTGTTCTGACCTCCTGTAGTGACTTCCTGTAGTGGTGTGGCTATTTTCCTCTTCCTGCTGAAGTTTTCCTTCACTGACTGACGTACTAGCAGCCAAAAGGTCAAGGTAAATAAAAGCTGGAGAGACAGAGGGGAAAAAGGAGGGTTGAAAACAGGCGGACGAACATGAAGACCACAAGTTCAGTTTTCAGACACGCAGAATACAAAAAAGTACAACCAGCAGCGTGATTTTACTTACTGCAAATTCATGCAACACATCATTGTTGAGCATCCAGCAAATCAACCAAATACACACGAGACAAACAATGGTCTGTACAGTAATTACACACAACGTAACCAAATACACAAAAATGAGCCGAGCTGCACAAAAACAGCGGGATGATCAGGGATCCGTGTTGCAGGGCACTGAAAGGAGTGCTGTTTACTACCAGCCTCACTCATGCACGGACACACACATCCATACATCACTTTAGTCTATAAGTGTTTTCTGTCACACTCTGATCCATGAATGGGTTCAGGATTTTGCCCA